TAAATCTTTTTCTTGCACAGTTCCCTCGCCTGAAATGCTCTCCCCCTATACCCATCTCCCTGTGTAACTCCTCCTGGACCTTTAGATCTCAGCATAGATACCCTTTCTCAAGGGGAATTTTCCAAGCCCCCTCCCCCACTATGGGTGGTAGACCCTCTTACCACTGGGTACTTGACAACTCTGGTGTACAGGCTAAATTTGGTTGAGTACTGCCAGACAATTGCCCAAAATGGCTGCTCAAGCCCAGACTTTCACCAACAGTACATGGAGGTCCCTGTATCTCCACAACACTGCCAAATTTCATGTGATTCAGTTCTCTAATTTCTTCCAGTACGATGGATATAAAGTAATATATCATTTTTTAAAAATTGCACCTCTCTAATGATTAGTAAAATTGAGCATGTCTTCACATGCTTGATAACCTCATGGGTTTCCTCTTGTGTGAGCTGTCTATTCCTATCCTTTGCCCACTTTTCTTTGAGGCTCTTGTTTTTTTCTTGCTGTTTCTCAAAGTCACTTTTATATTCTGGATGTTTAATCTCGGGTGATTTCAGCTATAGCAAATAGATATTTGCTGTTTCATCTGTTAACTTTGTGTATAGGGTCTTTCATTAAACAGTAACTGTAAATTTTGATATGTACATTGTCATTAACTTTCTTCCTTGTGGTTTGTACTTTTGAAGTTTTGTTCAGGAAGTCCCTCCTTATCCCTAGGTCACATAGTATATTTTTCTATTAACTTATAGTGTTTTCTTTTACATGAAAATCTTTAAGCTGTCCGGAGCTATTGTTTGTATATGGTGTGAGGACTCCAGCTTATTTTCTTTCAGTTTTCCATACACCATCTTACCTTTCTGGCCTTAGAACACATCCTAATACCTGTTAAGTCAAGTCTACTTTCTTATCTTTTTCAGAAATGATTTAGCACTTCACAAATCTTTATTCTTTTTTTATTTTTTTAAATTCTTTTATATATATATTTATTTATTGAGATATAATCACATACATAAGATTCATCATTTTAAAGTGTATAATTCAATGGTTTTTAGTATATTCACTAAGTTGGTCACCCATCACCGTTATCTAACACCAGAACATTTTCATTACCTCAAAAAGAAACCCTGTACTTATTTGCAGCCACCCCTGTTCCCTTCTCTTCTCCCCTCAGCCCCTGACAACTACTAATCAACTATCTCTATGAATTTGCTTATTCTGAGCATTTCACATAAATGGAATCACAAATTATGTGAATTTTTGTGTCTGGCTCCTTTTCACTCTGCATAATTTAAAATTTCACCCATATTGCAACATGTATCAGTACTTTGTTTCTTTTTATGGACGAGTAATATTCCATTTTATGGATATACCTCACTTTGTCTATCCAGTCATCAGTTGGTAGATATTTGAGTTGTTTCTATTTGGGGGCTATTATGAAAAATGATGCTTTGAACATTCATGTAAAAATTTTGTGTGGACTCTTTATAATCGTTATTGAATAAGATTTATTGATTTTCCTTAAAATGTTCAGCTGGGATTTAAATTAAGATTATATAGAAATTATATAGTAATTTGGATGTAACGGAAATAGTTATAATATGAAATAGTCTCATCCAAGAGAATGAAACATGTCTTCTTTTATTCAGATTATCTTTTGTGTAACAATATTACCACAAATTTCTCAGCTTAAAACATTAACTAACAGTATCTGTGGGTCAGGAGTCAGGGTATGGTTTAAGTGGATTCTTTGCTTCAGTTCAGTTCAGTCACTCAGTCGTGTCCGACTCTTTGTGACCCCAAGAATCGCAGCACGCCAGGCCTCCCTGTCCATCACCAACTCCTGGAGCTTACTCAAACTCATGCCCATCGAGTCGGTGATGCCATCCAGCCATCTCACCCTCTGTCGTCTCCTTCTCCTCCTGCCCTCAATCTTTCCCAGCATCAGGGTCTTTTCAAATGAGTCAGCTCTTCGCATGAGGTGGCCAAAGTATTGGAGCTTCAGCTTCAACATCAGTCCTTCCAGTGAACACCCAGGACTGATCTCCTTTTGGATGGATTGGTTGGATCTCCTTGCAGTCCAAGGGACTCTCAAGAGTCTTATCCAACACCACAGTTCAAAAGCATCAATTCTTCAGCACTTAACTTTCTTCACAGTCCAACTCTCACATCCATACATGACCACTGGAAAAACCATAGCCTTGACCAGATGGACCTTTGTTGGCAAAGTAATGTCTCTTCTTTTTAATATGCTATCTAGGTTGGTCATAACTTTCCTTCCAAGGAGTAAGTGTCTTTTAATTTCATGGCTGCAGTCACCATCTGCAGTGATTTTGGAGCCCCCAAAAATAAAATCTCACAAGGTTGAAATGAAGGTGTTGACCAGAGCTACAGTCTCATCTGATGCTCGTCTGGGGAAGGATCTGTTTCCAAGCTCACTCAGGTTGTTGGCAGAATTCAGTTCATTGCAGTCATAAGACAGAAGGCTTCAATTTCTTGCTGGCTGTCAGCTGGGGTCACCCTTAGCTCCTAAAGGCCACCTTCTATTCCTTGCCATGTGAGGTTCCCCAAAGTGGTCAATTGTTTCATGAAAGCCAACAAGGGAGTGGGAGTTGGCTCACAAGTTGATCATTTCCACCTCATTTTTAACATGATTATGTACATGTAATCACATTCATCTGGTCACCTTTGGACACACACACACTCAAAGGGAGGGGACTACCCAAGGATGTGAATACAAGGAGACAAGGATCATGGGAGCCTGGACACACACACACTCAAAGGGAGGGGACTACCCAAGGATGTGAATACAAGGAGACAAGGATCATGGGAGCCATCATAATTGTGTGTCCATTACACCATCCCTGAGCATATAATCTTCAGGTTCATAAGGGGATGTGTGTAAGGATTTTGGGGCTTCCCAGGTGGCTCAAGTGGTAAAGAATCCGCCTGCCAATGCAGGAGTCACAGGAGATGCAGGCTTGATCCCTGGGTCGGGAAGATCCCCTGGCAACCCACTCCAGTATTCTCTTTTTTCCTCCAACCAGGTTTATTAAACTTAACAAAATTCTGTATACAAGGTGACCTAAATATGCTGCTTCAAAACATGATAGTTTTCTTAACTAGTATTTTGATAAGTCAATCCACAGAGTGTCAAAAGGCAGCCTACTCTAAAATTAATAGAAAAGTGCTCAATATATATCACATGAATGGTCTAATAGTTCTATAAGATAATTAATATAAGGTATGACTGAGTCCCTGTGACAGGCTGCTGGAGAACTGATGCGAGTTGTCAGGAGGCCATTTTGTGAACTGCCACTGTGATGCCGTCGTGTTTCTGGATCATAATCTTCCCATTATTTGATTCTAGATACACCACAAGAATATCAGTGGGGTCCGAGGTTAGCTTAGCTGCTTGCTGGGCTAGTACAGATATCACCCCAGCATGCTCATCTGACAGGGTTCCGCAGCAACCTAGATTGAGTCCCTGTGGATCTGTGCACAGGACTCTGAAAATGGATGGATTCTTCATTGTGTCCTCCAAGTGCTGTTCTAAGTTAGCCTCTATCCCGCTGTGTGTCACCTCCTTCTTTGCCATGGGTTTCAGGTGCCCCTTGGTCCCCACTCCAGTATTCTCGCTGAGCAAGAGTTGGACACGACTGAGCACACACAGTAGAAGCAGTTAGAATGGCTTAGATATACTCACAGCAACACAAATGGATCTTTCTTTTATTCACTTTTGATTTAAGTCATGTTACCATACTTTTAAAATTCCAACCAAAATGAAAATACCTTTAAAAAATCTGGTTATAATAATGATACATATTCATTGAAACTTTTTTTCAGATAACAGAGAAAAATCTAAAGGAGAATGTGACAAAGCATCTGTCATCTCCCCCTGCACCCACAATAACCACTGATATGCCCTTCCTGTCATTTTCCCCCTTATAGATACAGAAATTTTACCAAAGTTTTGTTTTGTTTGCTGTATCATTTTATGTGGCTTAAAATCCTTTTGGAATAATTTATGAATGAAATCGATCTACGTATCTATGGAAGACAAGTAGAGACAACAAAATAAAGACAGAGACAGGAGGAGGGTTGCAGAGATGAAGGGAGAGAAAGAATAAGAGGCAGGAAGAGATAGATGGGAGGGGAAGACAGAGAGACCTATGGGCATATAAGGTCAGAAAGAGAAACAGAGCAATGGAGAGATGAAGATAGTGGAAAAGAGACAAGGAAAGGATATAAAGGAGCTTTTATTGAGCTCCTACTAAATGCCATTTTTTTTAAGTTTTTTTAAAAATTGAATTTGTTATGACATTGCTTTGTTTTATGTTTTGGTGTTCCGTTAGGAGGCATGTAGGATCTTAGCTCCCTGAAGAAGGATTGAATCCATTGCTCCCTGCATTGGAAGGTGAAGTCTTACCCACAGGACCACTAGGGAAGTCCTCTAAATACCATTCTTATTAAACCTTCAAAGCCACTCTGGGAGACAGTTACTAGTAACCGCTTTATGCACGTAAGGGACAGCATCTTAGAATGGTGAACTAATTGAAGTCATCACTCTGTAAAGGCCATGGTCCATAGGCCATCTGTAACTGTTTATCCAATGAACAAAATTGTATATCTCCTCCCCAAGAAGCGGGGCGGCAGGGGGGACCAGACCCTCATTTCACTCCACTGAGTCATTTTTCCTGCCTGTCTGCTGAGGCGACAGCAAGGTCTGTTGCTCTGGCAACTGGCCTCCGATTGCCATGGCAACCGCCATCAAAGGCTCCAGCTCATCACCTTGCCCCTCGGGCATCTCCTTGGCAACGGGCAGGATGCAGAGGCTGAGGGAGCTAAAGGCTGCGCTTGCGTAGAGTGACAGGATGGGATGGGCAGGGAAGGGCAAGATTCCTCAGCCTGCGCAGCCGCAAAGCACCGCAGCGGTGCGGGGTAGCTCAGGCGCTGCGCACTTGCCAGTCAGTCCGCCTGTCCGGAGCCCGGCTCGCTGGGGCAGCATGGCGGGGTCGCCACTGCTTCACGGGCCGCGGGCCGGGGGCGTCGGCCTTTTGGTGCTGCTGCTCTTGGGCTTACTTGGGCCACCCCGCACTCTCTGCGCAAGGCCGGTAAAGGTGCGACCCGGGTCGGGCACTGGCGGGGGTGGGGGGGGGCCAGGATGCTACAGGCGAGGATCGGTGCCTGGCCGCTGGCCCCTTATCCTCGCTGGCCCCAGTTCTCGGGACCTGTGGAGAGATCGGCCATGGGGGCCTGGGGTCCAGCCTCCAGTCTGCGCCCAGGCCATGCCAGCCTCCATCTCTTGGGTGTGCGGGTGGCAGTATCTGGGGGTCGTCTGGCCGCCGCGCCCTGCCCGCACTAGGCGCTGGGCCCGGCCTTACCCCGCCCGCCGTCTGTGGCGCTGTCCACGGGCATAGCACACTGGAAGGCGAGGGATGCAGACCTCGGTCTGTGTCCGAAAGATGTGATGACAGGGATATGAGTGCGTGCTGTCTCTGTGTGTTTCTTTTGATGTAAGTGTGTGATGCTTCTGTGTGTGACTTTTCTCAGTGTGACACTGGTGTGTTTGTGATTCCTGTGGTGATGGAGTGACTTATGGGTGTGTCTGTGTGTTTGGGTGTGTGTCTGTGTGATTGTCTTTTTGTTTGGGAGGGAGTGGTCTTTGCATCCCCTAGGTGCACATCCCATTTCAGTTCTGTTGAACTGAGAGACTGGGATTTTGTATATGTGTTGATGAGACTCTTTCTTTGTGGAGCTGTGTCATTGTGGAGAGAGGAGCCATGATGTCGCTCTCTGTGCAGCATTATGTCTTTAAGGGTGGTGCGTGCTCTTGCATCTACATGGCTTGGCAATTGTAACTGCATAGCATTGGTGAGTATGAATGTTTGCAGCCCCCTCCCACCTCGAGTGTGGATGTGGCAGCGTTGGGTTGCATATTTGACATCTCAAGGCTTGTCAGTCCAAGTAGTGTGTGTGAGACCACGATTGACGTGTGTGATTCCCTGGGGGATCTCAGGGGTGGTGGCCATCAAGGGCACTTGGAGCACATCCTCCTCTAATGAAGAGTTCAAGGCTGCATACAGCCTTGCATCCTATGCATCAAGGATGGTTTTTTTTAAAAGTATTCTTTATATATGAGAATATATCTAAATATATGTATATATACAGTGTAAGAAATAATGATAAAATAATCCCTTTGTGTACCCATTACTCAGCTTAAGAAATCAAACATGATCAATAGTTAGAAGCCCCTGGGTGCCTCTTGCCACAGTAGCCTCTCTCTTCCATAATCATTATCCTGTATTTTCTGTTAATTGATCCCTTACTTTTGTTTGTAGCTTATCATCTACGTCTGTATCTCTAAACAATATGTTGTTTAGTTTTTCCTCACAGAGATGGAATTATACTGGGTGTCTGGCTCCTGTTAGTCACTAGGGGTCACTAGGAAGTCATCAGGGTATCTGGTTTTAACAGGCAGTCTGCAGTGGGATTCTGGAACTTGCTTTATTTTTACACATTGGTTGTGAGATTCATCCACATTGAAGTATGTGGCTATAATTATTTTTATTACTGCATAATATTTTACACTATGAGTATATCATGAGTGTATGAGTATGTCATGATTTATAGATGCATTTTCAATATGCCGGCAACATTTTGGTTTCTAGGCGTTTTATTTCCTCCCTTCATTTTTATGCTGTTATGAACAGTTCTGCTGTAATTTTTTATGAACCCTTGTCCAGTAGTATATGCACAAAAGCTACTCTGGGGTGTAACACCCCAGGAGTGGGGCATATATGTGCATCTTTCAAGACATTGCCAAATTGTTCCTCAACGTTATTTTGACAGTTGCGTTCCCAGCAGCAATGTATAAAAGCTTCGATTTTTTTCTACATCCATATCAACATTTGATATAGTCAGACTTTAATTTTGGCAGTCTTTTGCACTCCCCCTGCATAGTGTATCTCATTGGTGTTTTAATTTGCATTTTCCTGATTACTAATGAGGTTCACTAGTTTTCATTTGCTTAGTAACTGTTTTTGGTTCCTTTTTTGTGAAATACTCGATCATCAGTTTTGCCCATTTTTGTATTAATTTGCTTTAATCTTACTGCTTTTTAGGAATTTTTGGTATATTGGACACTGTTCCTTTATTGATTATTTGTGTTACATGCATATTCTCCTACTCTGATTTTACTTTTCATTCTTTTTATGGTGTCTTGGGATAAAAAGAAATTCTTAGCTTGATGTAGTCAAATTAATTTTTTCCCTTTCCATTGATCCCAAATTTGGATCATTTGTTTTTCCTGCACAATTTACTGAAGTTGTTCCTGTCCCTCACAGCTCTGCAGTGTCCCCTCTGTTGTAGCAAGTGTCAGTGTGTGTGAATCTGTTTCCAAGCTCTGTTCAATTCTGTTTCTTCCACTGCATTGAATCTGTGGTTTAACTTGCCCATTCAAATTTTAATTTCATTTATTTTTCTAAATGTGCTGTATGTTTCTTTTTCAAATCTTCATGGCCATTTAATGGTCTTTTGTTCCTTTCTCATACTTTTGATATCTTTTATTTCTTTAAACTTACTGAAATTGCTTCAAAACTGCCTGAACTGAACATTAGTCGCTGGGTAACTTATTTTACAGATAGACTTGGATATACAAATGATATATGTATACAAAAGACATATAAATGATATATGAACACAGTTATTCATTACGACATTATTTATAAGAATAGAAAAAGACTGGAAACATCCTAAATGTTTATCAGTTGGACTGGTTAAATAAACTATTGTACATTCATAGGAGACGGATTCAAAGCAGAAGAAAGGAAGGATCGAAGAAAGAAAGGATGCTTTTAGGGTAGGATCTAGACATAGATTCCAAAAAAACAAGGCACAGAACAGTCTGCTACCTTTCGGGTAAAACAAATGGACAGTTAGGAATCTGTAAAATGCAAATATTGGTTCCTATTGTCCACAACATTAATATAGAAAAATCCATTGCTGTCTTATCTACCATCTCTATTCCTATAAAGAAACCTGGTCTTCAGCAGCCCCGGGGGGCAAGGTGTGAGTCACTAGGAAATCGTTGGCGGGGGGTGGCGAGGTGGGGGTGAATCTAGGGGTCTTCGGTGGCCCTAAGTGTGGCCAGAGATATTTGTGGGTCTCCATTGGCCTTAGGGGTGTCTACTCATATTTGAGGGCCCACGGCACCTTTGGTGGCATCTAGGGATATTTGAGGTCCGCGGAGTCCTGCGGATTGGGAGTCCCTGGCCGGGCGAACGCTGAAGACCTCCCCCCTCCAACCTGTCTTCCCGCAGGAGCCCCGCAGCCTGGGCGCAGCCTCGCCGCCCTTGGCTGAGGCCAGCGCTCCCCGCCGTTTCCGGCGGGCGGCGCCGAGGGGAGAGGCTGCGGGGGCTGTGCAGGAGCTGGCGCGGGCGCTGGCGCACCTTCTGGAAGCCGAACGGCAGGAGCGGGCGCGGGCTGAGGCGCAGGAGGCCGAGGATCAGCAGGCGCGCGTCCTGGCGCAGCTCCGGCGCATCTGGGGCGCACCCCGTACCAGTGACCCGGCCCTGGGCCTAGAGAACGACCCCGACGCGCCCGCCGCGCAGCTCGCCCGTGCCCTGCTCCGCGCCCGCCTGGACCCGGCGGCCCTGGCAGCCCAGCTTGTCCCCGCCCCTGCCCCCGCCGCGGCACTCAGACTCCGGCCCCCAGTCTACGACGATGGCCCCACGGGCCCCGATGGCGAGGACGCCGGCGACGAGACGCCAGACCTGGACCCCGAGCTGCTGAGGTACCTCCACGAAGGGTGGTCGGGGGGCGGGCGCCATCATCCTGGGAGCAAGGAGGCGAAGAGCGGCGGAGGGCCTTCTTCACAGGGTGGAGGTGCGAACACCTAGGTCCTGGGACCCTAGGTGGGGGCAGAGGTGCCTGGCTGGCTCCCTTCGTCCGAATGGCTGGAGTGAGAGGCAGGGACACCTGTCTCCAGAAAGAGGTGGGAAGCCTGAGTGGTCGGAGGCTGCCAGGTCCCCGAGAGGTTAGAGGTACCGGCGCCCTCCAGGTCCTAGGGCCGAGGCGTTGACTCACAGACACCCGCTCACTGCAGGTATTTGTTGGGTCGGATCCTAACGGGAATCGCCGACACCGAAGCCGTCGCTGCCCCACGTCGCCTCCGCCGCGCCGCCGACCAGGATATGGGCCCTGAGCTACCCGCTGAGGGCGTGCTGGGGGCCCTGCTGCGTGTGAAGCGTCTGGAGACCCCCGCACCCCAAGCGCCGGCGCGCCGCCTCCTGCCCTGAGCACCGCCTGGATCCCGTGCACCCTCCTGCCCAGGACACCCTGCCAGCTCCCGCCAGCCACAGTTGCTGCCCTCGAACCCCAGGATCCCCACCCAACCCCACAATAAATATGGTCTGAAGCAGTTATGTACTTGTTTGTGTGAGTGGCAGTGTCTAGGGGGCCTGTGGACTAAGTGGTGATGGCTCTCCTTAGACAATGGAAGAAGAGCCCCAGCCCTTGGTCCAGCACTTTTAAGACAACCCCCTCCCTTCAGTCTCTGCCTCTCCTCCCTGGGGAGATCTCCATGTGGGCAGTGGCAGTGCCTACCAGATTTTGTGCCCTGTTTCTAGGCCTCGGTTGGGAATGGGGAGCCCAGAAGTCTTTGAGGGCCACTTTCAGCAGCATCTTCTCGGAGTCCATCCCAAGGACCAAGCTGTTTGTCAGGCAGGTGAATACAGCTTGGATGGTCCTGGGATGTCCACTTGCACACATGAACTCCCTGATGTGGGGAGGGGGCTTCCTGAGGGAAGAGAAAGGGAGTGGGCTGCTGGCCAGGAGTCAGCCCTCCCAACGCTGTCACTTTCTGGGCCTTCAGATCATTGAGAAAATGTATTCAAGGTAGGAGGATAGGATGAATTTTGTTAGCTTGATATGTAATGTTGAAATATTTAATTATATATTAATAGTACAGAGGCCACTCTTATTGTACTGTTACCCCAGCCCTGAACATATTGGGAGTCAATGTGGTGGTAACTGGTGTGCACTGGCTATTCCCTCTGCCCCTAATTATCCACAAGATTTTGCTCAAATGTCACCTACTAAGGCTTTCCTTGACCTCCATGTCACTCTATTCCTCCACCTGCCTTTACTACATAGCCTCATATCCTATCTACAAGGGCAGGGATTTTCCATGTCTTGCCTCTACATCGTCTGTACCTAAAGCAGGGCCTGGCACATAGGGGTTTCCCCCACATTTCTTTTTTTTTTTTTCCACAATCTCTACTTTTATTGCCTAATTAGATTTTATTTCCATCTGGACAGCTTACTTTTTATTGGTGCGTGACGATATGATTTGTTTTTTGTTTTTCCTTCTGAACCCTGGATGAAAAGAAAACTCAGTTCTGGGAGGGATTGTCAGATAAGGGTACAGAATATGGTGAAATGGTGCTCGGTATCCTCAAAAAATTAGCAAAATCAATCCTAGAAGATCCCTTATTTGCCCTCTTGCTAGTTAATAAATAGACTGCTGGGGAAAGGGAGGAATAGATTCAAGGGCAAAGAAGGGTCCAGATGGGATGAGGAAAGCAGGGACAGGCGTGTCTACCCCACTCTCTCCTGCTCTCACTTACACCTATCCTCTAAATAAAGTAGTAGTAGACTTTACTGCTAAGTCACTTCAGTCATGTCCGACTCTGTGCGACCCCATCCCTGGGATTCTCCAGGCAAGAACACTGGAGTGGGTTGCCATTTCCTTCTCCACCCCCCACATTTCTTGAATGGAAGAATTCTCACAATTCAATAACATTCTCCCCACCCAGTCTCATTCCCACCCACATAACACTTGGCATGGAGGCAGTTTTGAAACCTAAGAACACCATTTATTTGTGCACAGAATCTCTCAACTTGATATAACACAACCAACACTATGTTCCACACTGCCAAAAAGCCCATCACCAAAAGAAAACCTCCCCAGAAGAAGAGACACCCAGTGTCCCACACAGCTACTTGCTGGTAGCGGGGGCCATGTGAAGGAACCATCACCCTGGTCTGGGGGAGGGTCCACTTTTCTAGACTTAAGACCTTCAGGCCACAGAGCAGCCACAGTGGCACATGGCTTTCTGGTGCCTGCCTTTATCCCCACCTGGCCCTGCCGTGGCCTCTTTTGCCATGGCCTCCCGGACCCTTTGGATCTCATGGATGAGTAGGGAAAAGGCCTCCACCACACCCTGGCGTGTCTTGGCTGAGGTCTCTATGAAAGGGGCCCCCCAGCTCTTTGCGAGGGCTACAGCAGCGGCATGAGCATCTCCAGTGGTGGTCACAAGGTCACATTTGTTGCCCACAAGGACAAGGGGCTGGGTGTGGTGTGGGCCCCAGGTGGCCCGCATCTGCTGCAGCTGGGCTAGAGATGAGGGGTCGTCGAGGGCGAAGACACCCAGCACACCATCGCCAATCGCCAAACACTGGTCACGCAGGGCCTGATGAGTGGCCTGCCCTGCTGTGTCCAGCACATTCAGAATGCAGCCTCCGTGGTCTAGGGCCATCTCCTTCCAGTAGGAATCCTGGATGGTGGGGTCATGATCTTCCACAAAGCACTGGTTGTTCAGCTGGATGGTCAGTGCACTCTTTCCCACACCACTTGCACCCACCACCACTGCCTTGTACTCAGGCAGCTTCTTGCCTACACCCTTGGAGGGTGCCCCCCAAGCCCTGTGGCTCTGCTCCCGGGATCTAGGGCTCCAGGTGCCCAGGCCCAAATCAAACATGTCAGGCTTTGTCGGCTGTGCCATGGCTCCAAGTGGGCAGCTCAGGGAAGAGATGTGGACAGCAGGCTCTGCAGATGAGAAGAGAAGAAAGACAGTGGGGGTGGGGGGTTGGGAGATTAGGTGAGACCATTTAGGGACAGCCAGGTGTTATTGAATCAACATTTATTGAGTGCCTGGTGTGTACCAATCACCTAATATAGTATATACATTATTCATGTTGTCTATTCTCTCTTATTCCCCTTTACAACATAAACTCTGTGAAGGCAGGGATTTTTAAAACACCTTGATGAATTTATATACCATAAAGTTAACCTAAAGTGTATAATTGTTTTTTAAATTCATTCACGGAGTTGTGTGACCATCACCGTAATCTTAAAACATTTCCAGTCACCTGGAAAAGATACCCCCTGCCCATTAGCAGTTCCTCCCCATTCTGGAGGGACGGCAGGAATTTCATCAGTTTTGATTTTGGATCATGTCACTGTTGGACCCCAGCCCAGGATACTGCCAGTCACAGTTTGTGCTGAGCAACATTCCTGCCCCAGGAGTTTATGTTCTAAAAGAAGGAAACATCAAGAGGGAGGGACCATATGAATACCTACCTACAGCTCATCCATGTTGATGTATTGAAGAAACCAACACAATATTTTAATTATCCTTCAATTAAAAATATATTTTAAAAAGATGGAAACAATAAACCAAAGAATTAAGCAAATTATGAAGTCTGTTAACCATAATCACTGGAATTTAGTCTTTATTACTTATCCAACATATAGCTATTGAGAACCTACTGTGTGGTAAGGACAAAGAGGTGAGGGAAAAGAGATTAATAAACCCTGGCCCTCCCGAACGTGAATTTCTAGTCAGGAAAACAGACAACAAAGATAAATCAGTAAGAATGCTTCAGTAATAGGTGATAAGCAGGGAGAAGGTGCTTAGTTAATGTTAGGCATTTCTATTATAATTTAATTTTCATTCACTAATTCGGGGACCTTCCTGCATGCCAGGCATTGTGATGGGTGTGGAGATGGGAGGTAGGGTTGGGGGCAGGAGGTGTGGGGGTGGTGAAGTGGCTGAGAACAAAATAAAGTCCCTGCCCTTGGGAGGATTCTGGAAGTGAGAAAGAGACAATAAACAAGATAAGCAAGTAAATTACCATGCAGTTAGAAGACGAGGAGCACACAGCAGGTGCTCAATTAGCGTCGACTATTAATAGAATGTGACCATTAACCCATTCAATACACATCCCTGATCTTGGTTTGGTGTGTGGCCTCAGGATATGCATCATAATGGTTGAGGCTCCAAGTCTCCCCGGAAGCCCAGGGGCAGTGGCAGCTAGGCGGGATGGGAGAATTCTGTGGCTTTTGGGATCCAAGGGTCAGAGTTGGGGTGGAGGGGAAGGTCCCAGGTGGAGATCCAGCTGTGGGGCCTCAGCCCAGAGAGGATCCCTGGAAAGAGCTGTGGAATGTGCTCTTCCGCCAGGAAGGGGGACCTGATAGGGAGAAGTTAGCAGAAGACAGAGCTCTGGTGGTCCCGCCACCCCCACCCCCCACTCCGGTTGCGGGGCAGAAACGGAGAGATCCGATCTTGAGGATGGGCTCAGGGGAGGGGGCCAGCCAGGAGCCAGGGCAGCAGTGCAGGCCGTAGGGGACCTGTATGAGAGCAGAGCGGGATTTGGGGATGTTCCGAAGGCCGGCCTGACAGGGTTTTTGCTGAGGGTTTGGAGGCAGGGGACGGGGTGCAGGCGGCCGGAGAGGTGGCCGCTGTCACCTGAGACAGGGCCAGGTGCGAGGGACCTTCGCCCTGGGCAGGGGTCACCGGGGCTGAGGCTGCCACGCAACGAGGAACCGGAATTGCGAGGCTTGGGAAAGTGAGTGGCGGTGACTGACCCGAGGTCACACAGACCATTGCAGGGTGGCAGGGGAGTGGGGAAGCAACAGTGCCAACTGCCAGTGGAGGGTGGTCGGGGACCCCTCCCCCCAGGCATGAACCGCTTGTGTCGCCTCCCTGACCCAAGGAGCAGGGGTACGGGAGGGGCATGTCCACCCAACGGCAGTCCCTTCCATCTCCTTCCAGGATGGCCCGGGCTCTGCACCACCTCAGTTAGGCATCCCCTGACTAGCCCAGGAGGCTAGCCCTGCGTGGGGCTGGGAGGGGGGCACACCCAGTTTCACCCCAAAGCCGCGCTCGGCCTGCACCTTCCCGCCCAGCTCCCAACTCCCCGTTCCCCGCGTGGGGCCTACACCCTCACCCAGGTCGGTACTCACGTTCTCACAAAGGCGGTCCGGAGGTTGCAGAGACGGAGGTTGCAGAGACGGAGGTTGCAGAGACGGAGATTGCAGGTCTCTGCGGAGGGGAGGCAAATAGGGGAAACTGCCCTCACACCTGACCTCGGCCACACCCCCACAGCCTTAAGTGGAAGGACCGCCCAGGTCGGTATGGGGGCGGGGGGCAGGGGGAGGCCTGGTGCCCCAGCTCACCTCAGTTCCAGGAAGGCCGGTGGCGTTGGGACCCCAACCACCGCTCTGACAGGGAAGGAGATGCTCCTCCAGGTCCCAGAGGCGGGATGGGGAAAGGGAGGAAGGGAGTGCACATGCGCATCAGGCTGCCCTCAGGCCCCTCTGCTGGGGCGCACCCGACAGTTCAGCGCTCCCAGGTGGGTGTGCCCGGAGGTATTCTTGAGGTGTGCTGTAAGCGCTGACCACCCTGTGTACCATGTGCATCCTGCTGCACTTCTTCTTTACCTTGCCCCCACCTGGGACGTGATTTTGTGTGTTTAGTGTATGGGAGGGGGTTGTTACATTTTTGACCTGAGTGTCCTGTCTTTGCGAAATGTTTTGTGAGGGCCTCTCTGAGGCCTCGGAGCGTGCACTGCCTCAAGCAGGCGTTTTGATAGCATAGGAGAGAGTTGCATCTGGTCCTGAAGGGAGGAGAAAGTTGCAAAGCAGGGGTTATTCTGTAAAGGTCAAAAGGACCTGATTTGAGATAGATATGTGCCAAGTTACATTTCCCAGACTCCCTTGCAGCTATGGCTGTCATGTGACACAATTCTGACCAATGAAATGTAAGCAGTTGTGGAAGGGGGGCAACCAGAAAGCTCCTTTAAAGGGGATGACCGAGCTGACCAGCAGCCCCTTTTCCCATTCTCTTTTCTTGATTGGGTGAGGCTCTGATAGTCATGTTGGGAGCATGAGGGTGGCCATGAAGAAAAGTCCAGGAAACATCAGCCTGGACTCCTTTGAGTAGCCAAAGCAATTCTCATTACGTAGGGGAAATAAAACAGCCAAATTATCCTCCAATTCCCCACCCTTGGTCAGTAGTAGATACTCCTTCCCCCAGGAAAGCTACCCATGACCATCAAATCTAAGCATGGTAAACCTGGACATTGTTCCCCCCTCTCCACCCCCACAATCAAGACAAAAAAACATATAGGAAGGCTGAGGCCTAATGAGGACACTTCATGATCATTTTTCTCACCTTCCCAGCCCAGGGTGTAGCTGGACTAGCTGTGAGCCTTCTATTTCTAAGGCAGGTGCTCCTTTTCTCACAGAGTTCACCATTTAACCTCTTATGGAGCCAGTTAATAGAGCTGTTTGCTCTATTGTCAGTTAATTTGGGGGGGGGCACTGGTTGAACAGGGGGTTGACCTGATAAAGACCCATAAAGACCCACACCTTCATTTCTTCATCACTCATCAGCTCTGTTGGCCAGAAGGGTGGGCTTCTTTACCCACTCAAGATTAAAAGCTTTCTCCAGGTGTTGTAATAGTTTGTACTTTATTGCATATGCAACCCTGCCACACTACAGTTGATTCTCTTGCCCTCCAAAGTAGGTTTATATCAGGCCCCTTTGGGGTCACTGAGCTGTGCTCTCCTTTCCTTTTGCAGCAGAGTAGATAGAGTCCCTTGAGCAGGTAGTGGGCAGGGAGAGATATACAATCGATACCACAGTCTTCATACAAGTACGTACACTTAAATCAGCACCCTGTGGGAGTTGGAAAGGGTCTTCAGGATGGGATGAACTAAGGCTGGTCTATCTTGGGACTCTGAAGATAAGGGAGCACATCCTGGGATTTAGTCTGAGTGGGGTATGTCTTCCCCAAACTTGTTCTGGTGGGCGATGTTCTTCACCGCTAGGAGATCCTGAGGAGGAGGCAAGAGAGGGGAGGTAAAGTGAGCACCCCTCTACCTCAGCTAGGAGGCAGCCCCAACTCCAGCCCTCAACCACACTGTCTCTTGGCCTATCCCACATGCAGAAGGGTTTCCATTTGTCCCTTACCCAATCACAAAAAGTGTTGTGTATAGGGGAGGGAGTGTGAGTGAGTGTGCACACATTAGAGGGTCTGTCCAGGGCCCACCTTGTGGTGGACATAGGCCTGACAGTGGTAACACCAGGCAGACAGGTCGGCATAGCTGAGTACTAGTGGGTGTCCTGAGCCTTCATGGTGTTGGAGCATATGAGCACTGATGTAACGACCGCAGTAGACCTGAAGTTGGGGAATGAGTGTTGGGTGGAGATTAGACCCACCTAGGGTTTGCTCCTGGGTCAACCTCCACCCCACACTCTTCTTCAGCTGCATACCTGATAGCAAGACAGACACACCCAGTTCTCCTGGAGTGTTCCACAGTCCTGACAAGGTTGGGTCACGTTCAGCCCTGTCTCAGGTATGGGGCATACTGCTGCCAAATGGGGACACCAAAGCAGTGGTCTCACTGCATAAAACATGACCTGGGGTGGGTAAAACTGAGTAAGCTAGAGACTCCATCTCCCCATTATATGTTCTTATAGCACATACTCCTAGGTCGAGGCACAAATGGGTGTGAGAAGGAAGCCACCATTCTAGCCTCTCCCTGAGCTCACCTGGTCAGTGTCAGCATGATCTCCAAAGACTTGCAATGGCACTGACTCATTCATGTCTTGACCTCCAGCTGCCTCTCCTAGTAGTCCTTCCTCTTCTGGGGGCTCCTGTACACATGGAGAGGAAAGATGTATCTAGGAGGCCTGATCCTCATCCCTTCTTCCCC